CATTTTTAACAAAATTTGATTATTTGGCAAAATTTATTAACTCAGGAGATTTCACATAAAAATCCCATTTATCAGCTTCCCTGGAAAACCTTGAAAATCAGACAGCCCTGAGGGAACAATGAGTCAAAGCTACACCTGTCTGCACACCCCATGCTCTCTGGTTCTCTATGGTCTTCACTCCCTACTGCACTGAATCCTGCCCTCACTCTTCATTTATGCTGCTTGCTGGTGTTTGTGACCCTTACGGATCAGTCAGGGTGCCATGTGATTTGGACAGGAAATGTGACGGGATTTCAGAAGGAATGGAGATCACTTGGAGAGCACAGTATGGTGGAAAGATTATAAGCTTTAGTGCTAGACAGATCTAAGTCAAAATACTAGCCCTGCCTTCCTCCTGCCAGCCTTCTGCCTTAGAGATACGCTTTCCCTGCAGCTCCCTTTGCTTGTGATAAAATGGAAAATAGCACCGCCCTTCCGGGGTTGCAGTGAGCATTAGCGGTGATGTACATGTAGTTCCTAACGTGCCTGGCACCTGGGCAGCATACATTGGTTGATCCTGTCCAAAAAGTCTGGCAGGGTGCCTTGGTTTAAGTATTTGGAAAATGTTACAAAAAGAAGCCTCGGGGTGAGGAGGAAGCCAAATACCAGGTAGATGAAAGAGTTAAGTCTAAAAAAGCGTATACTTTTTTTTGTTAACCAAAAATTTGGAAATGCAGTTGTATATTTAACTTCCCCCAGGATGAGAAAAGACTTGCTAAGCATAAAAACCATGAAAGAGAACCAAAGAAAGGTCAAGAGTTGACTCAAAGTTTTTGGGCTACTCTGTGTTAAACATCAACATAATTAAAGGACAAATAGCAAATGAGAAAAAAGTATTTGCACAAAGTACGATAAAGGGTAAGTATCTTAGGGTCTGTGGTTACAGGTCAATAAGAAAAATGCTAACATCCTGTAGAACAATGGACAAAGAATGTGAACAGAGAGTTCACAACAGAATTAATGCAAATAGCAAATAGGCATGTGAAAAAATGTTGAATGGGGTTAGTAAAGAACTTCCTGTTTGAATAATGAATTGTTAGTTTTCCCCTCAATTTTTTTTTTCATCATTGTTAGTTGGTAATGTTCAGTATCAGTGATCTGACCAGAAGGTCGGTACTGTAGTATTTTCCTGATGGAATAATAAATTGCTACAACCTTCTTAAGAAAGCAGTTTGCTACTATAAGTCAGACTGCTTTAAAGTTTATATCCTTGGATCCCATCATTCCATTTTTGAAAATTTATCCTTAGAAAAATACTCAGAAATGTTTTGCCTGGGATCTACTTGTAGTAGCCTTTGTTTCTTTGTTTCTTTCTTTCTCTTCCTTTCTTTTCTTCTTCTTCTTCTTTTTTTTCTTTTTTTTTTATTTCTTTTTTTTTTTTTGGCAGTACTGGTGTATTAAAATCTCAGTGTCCAACAATGAGTACCTTGTTGCTATATTCTTAACATTAGCACAGTGACTGACATATACAGTGGTCAAAAAATATTTGCGAGTGTAAAGAAGGAAAGATACGTACATATAAAGGAATATTATATAACTCCATTTCTGAAATACCATACATTTGAGGCGTAAAAACATGCTCACAATGTAATGTTCAATATGTAAAGTACATGATTGTATGTATAGAATGTTTCCTCTACATGCATTGCATGAATTCTGGATGATAGGATTATATTTTCTCGATGCTCTTCCTCATTCAGCACATACGTACTGATGTGTGTAATAGGCGCTGAGCATGTTTTGAAAGGGTAAGACAACACTCTCTTCACAGAGTTTATCAGAGAGGAGGAAGGCAGGCAGCAAACCAGTAATTTCCATGTGTCATTTACTTTAGTGAACTCGTGTCACTTTTATTCTGTAGAGAGAAAAACTCTGCTGCTACTGATTGTCAAGCATCAATTGTTGGTTGTAATTCCTAAGGCATGTTTTTGGGACAGGAAAGGAGCAATTACATAAAGAACCTACGCAGAGCTTGTGAAACATGAAGTTACTTTTCCAGTGAAAAGAAACATGTTTAGGTTTCCTGTCTGTTGAGTGGTTAGTAATGACAGAACGACAAATACACCCAGACTTTTCCCCTAAATACCATTTTCCTAACGGAAACCAAATAGGCTGAGGTGGGAGTATAGAATTCGGGAAGGCCTAGGGCTCCTTGGGAATCATAATTGTGTGTTCAAATGAACTGGCTGTGCTTGGGAAGGAGGGGAGAGTGTTGGTCAGCATTAATATAAAAAGTATATATTTTTTGCATTTTTTCATCTGCTTGTGAAATTTTGTGTGGAACACCAAATCATCAACAATATAACCCACCCTACAGACTGACTGTGATCCTAAAAAGCCTCTTTTTTTTTTTTTAAAGTAAGCTCTGTGCCCAGCGTGGGGCTTGAACTCCTAGCTCTGAGATGAAGAGTCACATGCTCTACTCACTGAGCCAGGCAGGCACCCCTGAAAAGCCTCTTTTAACTGGGATCATGGATGGAAAATTTTATCCCAAGCAATGCTTTTTTTAGGGGTGTGTTCTGTTTTGTTTTGAAGAAAGACCTGAGTGAATCAGAAGGGTCACAGAGCCCTGTTTTGATAACTTAACCATGCTTAATGGCTGTGAATGCACTCCTCTAAACAGTCTGACCCTTGCTTCCAGCGTGGCTTATCCATTTATCAGTTTGAGCCTTTATGCACAGCCACGTGAGCTCTGTCGGCCTTTTATCCGCTTCCTGAGTGGAAAAAGTCTCCCTGTGTCTTGGTCAAGTTGAAGGGTAGTTCTGGGCTCTGTTGGCACTCTGGCCTCAAGACAAGAAGGACGCATTTGTGAGCTTTGTGTTGCCTCAGTAGAATCCCTTGCCCTCTTTTCTTTCTCCTTCTGCAGATTAGAATGTGCTCTCTGAGCCCAGGGTGTTGGAGGGGACGGATAGCAAGCAGCAGAGTGATGACATCACCTCGTGCAGTGGGCGCCCTGGGCATCGGTGACTCTTTCAGGGACCGATCAGGAGTGCTGTCTCCCAAGTGAAGGGTCTCCCTCTTTTGCTTTTAGGTACAGCTAAACGTTATACTGGATGTAGTATGTGTAAAAGCAACCCGAGGCTTCATCTCGGGTTGGAAAATGCAGACCTTAGGAACGTAAAGTGGGGCATGGCCCCGTGGAACGTCATTTTCCATCGGGGCTGGTATTTCCCTTTGCGTGTGGAACTCTCTCTCACTTGCTGGCTCAGTTCCCGCTTCATGTTTCCAGGCAGAACTACAGTGCTTACCTCTTCTCTTCCACTGGCCTTGGCGCCCCCTCCTTCCCGGGAATGCTTTTACTGTTCAAAGAGATCGTCGTCGCAGGCTTGGCTTCATGTCTGGGTAGCGCCTTTCCTCTCTACTTTGTTTTGCGTCCCTGCCCTCGTGTCTGTGCCTGAGCTACGGGTGAAGGTCCCACTGCGCTCCCAGAGTATGCAGTGTGCAGAGGGCAAGAGAACATCTGCTCCTCCCTTTGTTGAACCTTGATCTGGTAGCTGACTTTACAGCTTAAATCGGGGAACCTCGAGCCCTCTAAGTCTCATGGATGATGCACTCCCGTCTGTCTCTTTTCTCCAGTAGGACGGGCATCTCCTCTGGTTGGAATCCTTTCTCTCAGAGAGCCTCCTCTTGCTTCTCTGGATGCAGCGGGGCCACCCAAGGACAGGGTCACCTTCCCACCCCTCTCTGGGTGGCTGAGGGGTCAGAGGTTAACGCTGCAGTGCTTACTCGCTCCTGGAAAAGAAAAGGTGGCAGGCACAATTGAAATCAGTCACCGAAACCAAAAGTTGTTTCAAACATTGCTTTTCTCTTCTGCCTGTTAAAGTTATGACTGTGCTCCACGAAGTCCCTGCCAAGGGTTGGGACCTGGAACTTAAACTGTTTATGCAAGTTCATTATTGTTCTGATTTTGTTTTTCCTGAGGGAAATCATTGTAAATAATTATGTTCTCAGAAGCACCCCTACAATAATAAACATAAACACAGTATTGCAGGGAAATCAATCCTGCAGTAACCCAGATGCAGTCCCTTGCATCAGAAGTGAAGTAGACGGATGGGTGGATCTGCCCAGAATGGAAGTGGAAAGATCAGGAAGCTCGGGCCTCAACTCTTGACAAGCTCTTTGAACTCACCCCTTTGTCAGCTGCGAAGGAGGAACGACCCTCACGTACTGGCTGTTTTGCAGGCCGGGCCTGAAGCTTCGTTAGAGCACTGGGCATGAATGAACTTGGAGCTCTCTGGAAGAGAGGGGCGATGTAAATACAAGGCATTTCTGTGTGAAGTGGTCAGGAGTTGTGGTCTGTGCTCCAAGGCTTCAGTGGCCAGTCTCAGTTTGCAGCATTGTTCTGGGCAAGCCAGAACTTCCTTAAGAAAATCTTGCTGTTGACTGTTCTGCAAAGAAGCAAGATTGTATCTCCTAGACACCAGAGGAGCTATAGGAAGAGTTGTAACCAGTTTTAACATAGGCACCGATTAGTGAATTAGCAGAAATTGTAAAAAGGCAATGAGAACTCACTACACCGTGTCTTGTTTAAAAGCCCATTTTTTCCACACAGACCGTGGCAAAACACAGAGCGCAGCATAAAGCAGATGTAAAGAGTTCTTATATAAATAACTTAATTCCTTCACAGGCCGGAATGGGCTCTTCTGCATTTTAGATGCGGATGACAGTATCTGGCACTTCACGCTGTACTTAGCGTGCGCCCGTCTCCGGGTGACCGTCGCAGACTGCGTCAGTGGAGGCTCACAGCAGCCCTGTGTGGCAGGTCCCGTCGTCATCCCCAGACTAAGGTACAGAGAGGTGACACAGCTTGCTCAAGGCCAGACGGCTGCCGCGGACGGAGCCAGTAGATGAGCCCTGACTGTGTCGCTGAGGAGAGGTTTGCACTTCTAGACCATTGCCAGGTTCCATTGCATCCTGATCACACAAGCAAAAAACATGGTGCAATGAATGTTGTTTTCTAGGAAGAGAACGGAGACTACACGTATGTGGAAAGAGTGAAGATACCCTTGGATCATGGGACCTTGTTAATCATGGAAGGAGCAACACAAGCTGACTGGCAGGTGAGAACATGCACGGAATTTGGGTTCACGTGGAGGCGGTGCCCTGACGGCTTCTGTTTCTTTATTTCTCTAGTAAATGTGAAAAGCAAGTTGCTTTTATCATGAGCGAGCGGTGGTACAGTGACCCCATTTTCCAGGAGTTTTGATTCTGACAGTCAAAATGGACCTCTGCAGCAGTGGCATCCAGTAGAACTTTCTGTGACCGCAGAAACATTCTGCATCTTCTGAGGCCCCATGTTGTAGCCACTAGACACACACAGCTATTATTGGTCTTCTGAAATGGGGCTAGTGTGTCGAAGGACTGAATTTTTAATTTAATTTAAGTTCATTACAATAGCTTCAGGTAGCCAGTGGGTGGCTACCGGGCGGCACAGCTTCTCACCTTAGGCCGGGCTCTCTTAAAACCGGGTCTTCTTTAAGGTGTGCAAGTTCATGGAAGAATACTTAGCTTGGGAGCAGGATCTCATGTCTGTCTTTGGTCTCAGTCATTTATGTGTTGCCTTGCGAGATTTGGGAGCATGGCAGGAAGCTGTGAGGAAGAGCAGCAATTAGAAAAGATAAAAACAATACCTCAGTGTGAGGGCGCTGGCTTATTGGAGTGATGGGGGTGGGGAAGGATTTGTTTCAGAGAAGAAAACCTTTCTCCACTAGACTTCAGAGAGCTTACTGATGCTTGTGGGGGGTTGAGGGGGGATGAAGTCAAAATATGTCCATGTCCTCATAAATGTGTTTATGTCAGAATTACTTATATTTCCATTTAGCATCGAGTGCCCAAAGAGTACCACTCTAGAGAACCGAGAATAAACCTGACCTTTCGGACAGTTTATCCAGACCCTGGAGGGGCGCACTGGTGATGGGAGAACTTTGAGAGAGAAGCTGGGCCAAGACTGAGCAAATCTTCCACCGTGAAGGAACTTCCAGAGGCTGGTCCGGCTGATCTAGCAGGGAGGCTGTTCAGAAGACAAGGGTGGGATTTGCTTCCCAGCTTCGGAGTCCTATTGAATGACAGCCAGCGGGTCATATTCATACTATGTTTACTGTGGGAACAGAACCCCTAATCACACCTTAAAATCACAGAGCTTCTTTAGGCAAATTAAAAACTGCTGTGGCTGTGCTCACGGTGGGTTTGTCCTTGAGCAGTTTCTCTCCTGCCCCTCCTGCTTCATTTGAGGCACTGTGAATGGGCTTTGCCTCCGGGGTAAAGGCGCACGTGTTTGTTCCTTGTGACTTCGTGAAGTGGGATATAAACATGTGTCGGTGACCCTGGAGGCCTCCGCAGGCAGGCAGTTGCCGAAACCCAAACAGAGGGGACCTCGCAGAGCCTCGTGGAAGTCGGCCTTGACTGCTCAGCATCTTGGCTTCAGTGCTTTCGTAATGGAAAGCTGCATATTCTAGGAGCACTTTATTTAACCGAGTCTCGTCCCTGGGACAGACCCAGACAGGTTACAGGCCACCGAACGAAGAGTGGAGGCCGCGTCTTGTTACCCAGCCATCTTCGGGCAACAGCCTAGATACTTGTAATCCGAGAGGAAACTGTCCCCTCCGAGACAGAAGTAATTGAGTGATGTCATGAGAAATTTAGGCTGAAGAGCAGCAAATGTCCTGCTAGTGACAGCTGTCCCACATAGATGAGTTTCCCCTAGAGACTGACTTGAGTCATTTAAACCCAAGCCAGTGAGAAGCAGGGGCAGCCCTCTGGGGTCAGACTCGGTTACCTAATAGTTGTCTTTACCTTAAGTTCCGGGAGCCCTGTGACGAAAGCTTTCTTCTGACTCAGTGCTCTCTTAGGCATGAGCTCCAGAGAGTCAACAGTCCGTGATGTCACCAAGGTTCCCAAAACAGAACAGAGTGGCTGCCCTTTCTTGCCTCATAAAAATCACGTGTCTTCTTGACCTCTTGACTTACGAGTACTGGGCTGGATTGATTCCAAACCGAGATAGGGAAAACTCGAGAGAAAGAAAATGGAGTCAAATGGATGAAAACAGGACAAGAGAGTTAGAGTTTCCGTAGCTGCCTGCTGGGAAAACCTACAGAGCTTCTTGCTTTCTATCTTGTTTCCATTCCGTTCTGGAAGACGGATTGGCTTTGGCGTTGGTGGTAGAGTGCCAAAAACTGGCCAGGCTCTTCCCCGGAAGTCAGATGTAACACCAGGCCTGGCGGGCCCTGCTTTCTGACAAACTTTCTGGCTTTTCGCATTGGGGTTCCCCCTCCCCCCGCCACTTTAAATCTTTACTTAACGTGGTTCCACCCACTCGCTCTCCTCAGAAGGACCTGGTCTACAACTGTCCCCTTCCCACCGCCCCATTTTCTCCTTGGAAGGAAACTTTTTTTTTTAATGTTTTACATGTGGATGGCTCCTTTCGGTAAGAAATATTAAACGCTTTATAAAATCTGAGCGTCACACCAAGCCTTTCAGTGAGGGCGATGCAAATCACCATAAAAGCCAAATAAAACCTCTGATTCCTAGCTGTTTTCCTATTAAACAAAACCTGGCCAGGGTGGTACAGACGGCTTCAGTTGTGAGTTTGATGCATGACATTGGGAAATTCTTCTTCCGCTCCCATAGATGAAAGAACTGGCAGATGGTTCCCAGTCTCACGGCATCCCTCCTAATGTAGGGTCATGGCCTCCCCTTGTGTCAGCTGCACATTTGATCTCTTCACTCATCGCTGCCATGGCTGTCGGGGAAATGAGTTCCTACTTGACAGCCGACAGCCTGAGCCACCGGCCGGGCTTCTTCAGCTGAGAGCAGCGGTCTTGGCTTTTGTTCCTTGCTGCCCAATGCTAGATCTACCCCTTATACACACACACCTTTTTTTTTTTAAACCACAAAGATAATGTCCCTTTTGAAATGACAGGTACTTGCCATAGAGTTAAAGTACAGGGTTTAGGACTGCACGGGGACTTTCAGAACCTGGCAAAGGATGCCCAGGGACTGCACTGACCTGTTGCTGTGTTTTACTGGCCTTAGATCCTCCCTAGGAATTAGGGGCTGAGCTGCTTTGCCAACATTACTTGTAAAGCAGAGGAAGCAAATATAACAATGTAGCATGAAGAAAAACAGATTAAGTTTTTGCTTTTTTTTGAGCTTTAATAACCTACCAGGAAGTGTCCTGGAAGCTTTGTCTATGTAATCCCTTATCCTCCCCAAAGCCTGGCCGGGGAGAGGCGCTCTTCCATTGTAGAGACCAGGCAGCTGAGGCCCCCACAAGAAGGGCTAAATGATTTAATAGGACTTCCATGCAGCAGAACCAGAACTCAAACCACAGGTGAATCCTTAAACTGCGTGCTTTTTCCTCTGCCTTGAGGAATTTAGGCAGAATTGTTGAGTGGGCATCCCTGCCCGGCTCACCCCTGGACCCCATTGGCAGAGCGGACCACCCGGCCGCCTTGTTTGTCCTCTGGCTTTTCTTTGTCCTCAGGCATCTGCATCTCCTCTCTTCCTGATCAACGTTAGCAGCTCCTAGTCAGAAACCAGGCTGCCAACTGGACTCCTAGTCGGCCACTTAACTAAGGAAGCTTATTTTGGGGGGAGAGAATCCAGGTTCTGGCAAGTTAGACAAATTCTCATCCAACCTTCCTGTGACCCAGAACAATGTTTCTGATCGTATCCCAGCAAACTCTGAGGGTGCTTGCATGATCCCTTCCTCTGGATGCTCCTCTGTTAGTCCCTCTGGGGGCTCTGGGTGACACCCAAACTCAGCATCAAGTTTCTTCACGACACTTAACGACAGCACTGTTGCAGTCAGCACACAGCCCAAAGAACACAGGTCGGCTTGTACCCTAAAGAGGTCTTCACGACAGGCGGCTTGCCTCAGGACCATGCGCACCCGGTATCCGATTGTATCCTCCATACTGAAATCCCGATTCACGTTGTTGACTAAACCACTAGCTCTGGTGGCATGGACAGTTCATGTTAAGTTTGGAGTTACGTGAGCTCATAAACCTGACACTGCCTGTGGCACTCCATCTCTGCGGCCTCCGTGGCTTATCATGACCTTGCCCTAGTACCTGGTAGGTGTGCCTGGACCTGGACCGCAAGTGGCCCTGTCTCCTGAATCGTGTCATGGCAGCCCCACTAGAGGGAAGCGGGTCCTGTGCTGAGCAGAACACTCCCGTCGGAGGACTGTAGAGAAATCCTCGACACATGACTGGTCCCTGCCCTGCTGGGAATACTTCTTCCTTGGATTCTGGCGGCTTTTACTGGGCTGCAGGATATCCAAGACCCACTTTGCCTTTTCTGGTCATAAACACTTGTGAAGTGTTGAATCTGAAGCCTTGATTGCTTTATTTTTCTGAACGATGCTTTTGAAAAAGCTGAATATTTCCATAGCGATGCATTCTGTTTGTTTAAATCTTTACTTAACATGGTTCCACCCACTCGCTCTCCTCAGAAGGACCTGGTCTACAACTGTCCCCTTCCCACCGCCCCATTTTCTCCTTGGAAGGAACCGTAGTGGGAGAGCCTGGTCAGTTTTGTGCTGCTGGAATCCAGTCTCAGGGCGATTCATGAGTCTGAGGGTCATCAGGGAATGACGTTGATGTTTGTTTATTAGAGCGGAACACAGACTCACGGTGCCTTTTCCCGCTGGCTTAGTACTGCTGCGCTGATTTACAAGTGCCTTTCCCAGCCTGTGAACAGAGTCCCCTCTTGGGCTGGGCTATCTTTTAGGGTTAAAGCTGGTCGAGGGGCCTGGTGTCAGAGAGCGGTACAGGACAGGGTAAGTGAGGCAGGATACTTGCAGCCAGCATTACAGAAAAGATTGCTTCTCAGGTGAGCCAGTGCCATGCTGACCAAGGTATGTGTGACAATGTTGTCATTACAGTTACATCTGTGCTGTCACACACGCACCCCTCCACACACTCCCTGAACACCAGGGACAGTCCCTTTTCTCAGGGGGCCTCCAGAAGTGTGGGCATGTTCAGGCAAGATCCTGGCCTCTGACCCCACTAGCTTTTAACTCTGGACACAAATTGTAGGTTTCTGGATGGGAAGGAAAGAGGAAAGCCAGAAGGGAGTTTCCAGCGTATACTGTGTTGGGTCTGGGATGCCTGGGTGGCTCCTTTGGTTAAACATCCAACTCTTGGTTTCCGCTCAGGTCATGATCTCATGTGTCATGAAATCAATCCCCGCATGGGGCTTGGCACTCAGTGCAGAGTCGGCTTGGGTGTCTCTCCCTCTCCCTCTGCCCCTGCCCCTGCCCCCACTCTTGCACTTGGGTATGCACGTGAGCATTCTCTCTCTCTGAACAAAATAAAAACAACTGTGTTGGACCTGTAACATCCTTAATCTGATTTCTTCCTAAAAGTGACCCTAATGAGGTCGTTTTCTCATTTTTTAATCAGCTGGAGGAGCATGTACCTAGAGGATCAGATCCTAAGATCTGGTGTCCTGGGGTGGGCTGGAAGAGGCCCGTGGGGCTGCTTGTCAGCAGGCCTTCTGTGTTGTCTTTGGGCTTTCCCCAGCCCTGGCCCCAGGCATAGGGGACAGCTGCAGTCTTGGTCCCTTCACCAGAAGCAGCATAGAGACACCAATCGGAGCCTGGGAGCCTCGGAGCTTTTCCCCTGGGACAGGAACCAAAAAGAAGTGGGCTCTGGAGGGGCCGTGCGATCAGGTTACAGTGAGCCGCCTCCTGCAGGAGGGCCTGCCGAGCAGCACACGTGATAATCCGGATGCCCCTGAAAAGGCCGTCAGAACATATGCACCCTCCTAGCTTGATGTGGCTGAAACGTTTCCGGCTGCTGCAAGGGGCTGCCTCCCCCGTCCGTCCGAGAGGCTGGGGCAGGAAGCCACCCGCCAGGCCCTTCTCCAGGTGCTGTGATGGTCGAGTCTGTCCCTATGCCACTGGTTCCCACCCTGCCTTTCCGGGTCTGTACTTGGAGAATAGGCATGAGTGAGGGTCTCCAGGAGCGGAATCCACGCCTCCCAAAACAATGCTGGTTTGAGGGCTCTATCCTCCCTGCCTAAAGAATGTGGGACGGGTGGATAAGGATGCCACAGGCCTGGGGCTGCTTCCCAGGCTCTGGCCCAAGTGTGTTCAGGCTGCAGACCACCCAGGCAGGTCTCAGGAGAAGTGTCTTCCTCTGCCCTTGTTGGTTAGAGAAAAGTTTTCTGGAATG